ACCAACAAAAAGCATGGGGTACCCCCTAAAATCTTTTACCAGTTCCTTGATGCAAGCAGCAGCCTGGAAGAGCAGGAAGGGGATGGGGATTATTGTGCTCTCCCCCTCCAGTACTCTACGAGGGCACATGCCCTCAAAATGGAAAGGGTACTTTGCAAGGGGGCACCCTTGTATCACGTACCTTCTGCAAACCACAAAGAAATAATGCACTATGGGTAAAGATTTTTCTGTCCTATACATGGTAATCACTCCATTTTTCAATGCTTTAATATACAACATGATGCACAAGGACATTACCAGAGCCTACATCAAATGTACTGCACAAATATGCAGGTGATTGAAAAAAACTCAGTGAAAAAATGAACACGGGTCTAATTATTAGTGTTATTATTTTATTAAAAAAGTGGTACTTACCAGAAAGACACAACTACACTACTATTTTGAAGTTGAACTCCAGTCAGCTAAAAAAACAAGGAGAACTTTGTACATACACCCACACACACACAGCAATGCTGGTTTAGTCTGAGGGAACGTAAAAAAGAGGAATACTTACTCAATTCCTTGCTCACCCCATAGCTCTGCCCTCTTCCACTCCCAGTATATGTGGGTATGCCTTCAAAGCTCTCATGTACAACATGTACAGTAACTGGTCAAGAGAAACAACTTCATGGGAGCAGAGAAGAAACGTCCTGGAGTCAGGAAGTTGGGGGAAAAAAAATGTCTTCTTATTCTTTACTAACAAAACTAAGCAAGAATGCAACCATATGCACGGGGCCACAAACTGCTATTTTATGATTCACTGACAGGACAAACTGGGCTTTAATTTGATGTGACATATGCTTATAAATTCTTATTTTTTTTACAAAAAATATTTTTTTTCCAGTTTTGGCAATAATAATGTGTACATAATTAGTGTAGCTAACAGAAAGTAATTAATAATAAATTATTGTATTTGTCCTGATTTATAGGGTATATTATATGTCTAGGATTAGACATATTGGGGGTGATTTACTAACCCAAACACACGCACGCACCAGGTGTGTGTGATTTTCACACAGCAAAACGTATTTATCAACCAAAAAGTCTCTAAAAGCATATTTCCACTAATGCCATATATGGAAAAATCATGCACATGATGCATATATAATGCTGCTTCACAGTTTAGACAAAAATGGTTAGCTCATGCATTTACATTCCTGCATTCATCAACGCAAGCAACACAACATAGAGCTAATTTACACAACATCACCTTGCAATTCATGCTTGGCTTTGCACAACACACCTGCTGGGTGTGTACACACTACAAAGGTGTCTAGATTCCACCAATAGATCATGCTGGGAGGGAACACACTACAGAGGTGTATACTTGTTCGTGGCGTGTTTATAAGGTTAGTAAATCAACCCCATTTTGTTGAGATTTTTTGACTTTTTTAAACTTTTTGACTTTTAAGAATTTTAAAAACTTTATTTTTACATTTTTAAATTATGCTAGACCTTTCTTACATGAAGCTCACAGTGTGCAGTGAAATCAGAGCAAGACATATTAGTACAGGATAGGAGCCTGTGCAACTATTTAAGACTGAAGGTAAGGCTGGAGTTCAAAATCAAATGGAAAAAAAACAAGAAATGTGTTCACACAAAACCCTAAAATAAAGCACAGCATATCAATGATGATGATGATGAGGATGATGAGGATGATGATGATGATTATTATTATTCCGGATTTATAGCGCTAACAGTTTCCACAGTGCTTTATAATATAGAAAAGACATGAAAGTTACAATACAGTTCAAGACAAGATATTTAGGAGAACCCAGCTTACAATGTAAAATAGTTAAAATGCGTTTGTTGAAATGTCAGGCAATAAATTCCTTAGATAATAAATAGCAGACAAAGCAATTGTCAAGGAAAGAGTGTCTTTACACTGGAGTGTATGTCACAATTCTCCATGGGTTCATCAGTTATTTCCCAAGGACTGATAATGTATAAAAGGCATAAGACTAGTATTGCATTGTTTCATTTGCATACTTACATTAACAAACATCACTGAGGACCATTTTACACCAATAGACCAAGGTACATTATATTGTTTTTCTACAAACCGTATGTCTTATCAAAGAAACTTAAGAAGACAACATTAAGTCACAAGATCAGTCCAGTAATTTTTCAAACATCATTCGGGTATATAACAATGTATTTTTGTGACCATCCTTTACAATTTTGCCATGTATATATCTGGGCTATTTCTTTGCCTCCTTCTATTATTTTATCTTCATATATTTAGTTATTTCTGTTACAAAATACATATACCTGTAAAACAAATAAAACAAACAGCGCCTCCTCCTAGTGTATTAATGTACAGGTATAATGAAATGAGCAACAGGATGCAATGGAGTTCCCAGAGAAGACCGACTAGCTGAAATATTATTCTGTCTTCTATGGGACCTGCTCTACATCCTATTGCTCATTCCGTTATACCTCTACACTGAGTGGCCAGGTTATTATGACCACCCCATCAGTACTTCGTTGGGCCACCTTTTGCCTTCAATACTGCAGCGATTCTTCTTGGCATTGACTCCACGAGATGATGAAAGGTGATGCGAGGAACCTGACACGGCACTGTTGCCCTTCTGTTGTCTTGTGCCAGTCTTGCCCCTCCCCCATTCTGCCCTAACATTGACTGGTCGCTGACGGCCACAATTCTGCTGTTTTGCTGATACTCGCTCCATGGCTCCAAGCGCCAACAATCGCGTTGTTTCCCCGTATCTTCAGAAACAAATCACTTCTACTGTCGTGGTAACCAACCCGCTTCCCTATTTATAATGGTCTGGCCCTCTAGCAACTTCAGCCCAAAATTATAACTAATTTGCCTACAAACTTCAGGTGGTCATAATAATCTGGCCACTCAGTGTATGTGAGTAGTTTTTATTCCATTTTTTAATTACTCGATCTAATAAACATTAATACACTCGGAGAAGGGGCTGTTTGTTTTATTTGTTTTACATGTTATGTGAGGATACTTCCCAGTGGCCTTGAGGCCTTGAGGACGGTAGCCTTTTCCTCCAACGATTGATGTAAAAGAATCTGTGTTCTGGGGTCAGCTGAGCGCTGTGGTGTATACAATTTTTCCTGGATGTTTATAGATATCTCTGTATTTGAACTGAGTATTGGTTTACCGTTCAAGAATAATATCACATTCTTTGCTGTTCTTGCCTGTATAATATAAAATTGTGATGCATTTTAATTATTTGCTTCATATTTGACATGACAAAAGATTCGGGTTCTGGGGCCATTTGTGTATTTACAAAGGATTCACTGAGCAATTTACACGGTGAATGTTGCTGGACATTTTTCTGTCTGTATTGTATAGAATTTGCCCATTTTCAAAGATAATTTGTCTGTCACATGTAACAAAATTCACCCATCAGCATGTCTGTGAAGGTTTTCACTCATCCAAGTCATTGTATATCTGTAAAAAAAATCAGAGCAACTGGACTTTCTGTATTTTTCTTGAAGACGTTTTGTTGGTCATCTGACTAGCTTTCTCAACTCAGAATTCAGAATTTTATCACCCAAAGGATACAATTAAAAATATTAACAACCACTTACAAAGCCATCCACAACTCAGCCCCAGGTTACATCCCCAACCTTGTCTCATAGTATCACTCTAACCGTCCCCTATGCTCCTCACAAGACCTCCTGCTTTCTAGCTCCCTTGTCAACTCCTCCCACTCTCACCTCCAGGACTTCTCCTAGAGTCTCCCCCATTCTGTGGAACTCTTTACCCCAACCTGTCCGTCTATCTCCCACTCTGACTGCCTTTAGGCGATCCCTTAAGACTCATCTCTATAGGGAAGCTTATCCGACCTCAAACTAACCACTGAACTATCACGTTGTCAAACAATTCATCCCCACACAGCTCCCTCCTCATATTTCACTTGCCCCTCCCTTTTAGATTGTAAGCCCTCAGGGGCAGGGCCCTCCTTACCATCTTCTCTTGAATTGTATTGTGATTGTAATGTCTTCCTTATATTGTAAAGCGCTGCACAAACTGTTGGTGCTATATAAATACTATATAATAATAATAGTCGGATGACCTGTGAAATGTCTTCTAGAAAAATACAGCAAGTCCAGTTGCTTTGATTCTTTTTTTTACAGATATACCCATCGGTAGTTGCATACAACATATCTGAGGGATTCCTTCAACAAACAAGATTCACCCATTTGGTCATCATTTTCAAGAGGATTTACCCTATGTGTAAGGGAGTGGCTGATGGATGAATCATGTTTGTTATTGAAATAGATCTCTTATATGTTGCATGTGATTGCTAATGGGTGAATCTTATTACATTAAAATGATTTTGAATAAATGATCAATTATGATTATTGATTTATGATATTAATATGAAAATTATAGGCATATAGGGAGAATAATTTCAAAATAATGGGTGAATTACATAAAATAGAAACGGGAAAAATGCGCAGCAAACTTTCACATGTTCCATGGAAGAACCACTTATTGCTATCTAAAAATTAATAGACCCCATAGTCATGTTCAGTTTTATGTTAATTTGGTTTTAATAGGTCTTACAAAACATGGCATCTCTACAAACGTTTCACAAAATAGAACTAGTATCTACTTCAGTCCATAGAAAGGAGCAGCTGTCTTTACATTTTCACTTTTACAACCAATGTTTAGGACAGGTTAAGGCACCGGGGATGATTTAGAAGAAAAAAAAACAAGGCAACGAGACGTGAAAGCAATAGCTAAGGTCACCATACTTCCATGGGTTATTACACCAACACTGACCGGTTGGTGTGGGCTAAAGCTCTACTTTTCCATTGTGGGTTTGGGCTAAAGCTCTACTTTTTGTTATTTATGTCATTTATTTATTCACTTATATACACTGAACTGTAAAACATGACTGAAAACTTGCCCCTGCCTGTAATACAAGTTTCTTTAGTATTCCTAATAAAACATTTTTTCTTCGTCTTAGGCAATGTATGGCAGCAACATCACTATGATCACTCAGATCTTACTCTTGGGATTTCAAAATCAGCATAGCGTGAATGTTCTGATTTTCTTCATTCTTCTTGCTGTATACTGTTTGACAGTATGTGGGAACTTTCTGATAATCACTCTGGTGTCCTTGAGCAAAAATCTTCACTCTCCTATGTACCTCTTTTTGTCCCAACTCTCTGTGACTGACATCATGTTGACCACAAACATTTCACCTAACATGCTGTATATCATTATCAATGGAGGTGCAGCAATGTCCTTTGAAGGCTGCATCACACAGTTTTATTTTTTTAGCGTCATTGATTGCTCAGAGTGTCTTCTTCTCACCATTATGTCCTATGATCGATATTTAGCAATTTGCAGCCCATTAAAGTACTCTTCCATCATGAACTATATGCGTTGTCTGAAGTTGATAGTAATGTCTTGGCTCGCTAGTTTTTCAGTAATCTTGATCCACATAATAACAATATGTAAGATGGAATTCTGCGGACCGAATGTCATTGACCATTTTTTCTGCGATTTTACTCCTCTGTTAGACCTCATCTGTTCCGATACCTCCTTAGTTCGAACAGAAGGGACTTTATTGGGTATTCCTATTCTTATTATACCATTCATCATTGTCATAGTTTCCTATGTTTGTATTGTCCATGCAATCTTAAAGATTCAGTCCAACACAGGTAGACAGAAAGCTTTTTCCACATGTAGTTCCCACTTGTGTGTGGTTTCCATATTTTACGGGACACTCTTCTGCATGTATGTCCTTCCGAATGAAGGGCAGTCTCTGACAGCAAGCAAAATTCTTTCCCTTTTGTACACAGTGGTGACTCCATTACTTAATCCAATCATATATTCTTTAAGAAATAACGATATCAAGAAAGCAATGGGGAAATTATTGGACATAAGAAAAGTAACATATAAATGAAGAGAAAAGCAACTTGTTGTACCTTCAGCTTTACAAAAAAAGTGTTATAGCTTGGACATCCATTTTGCATTTAATTTAATTATTACACCACATGACCACATTGTTAGGTACACCTTCTAGCACTGGGCACAAGAGTTTAGCAGTCTTCATGTCATGGATTGAGCCAAGTTACAAAAACAATCTTTTTTTTTTGTCCAAAGAAATTTCATAGCATCATGTACTTCCTATAGACCACTTGGCCACACGTTCTTGCTAAGAATCCCTCAGTCCACCACATACCAAATTATGGGGCTGTGTATGAAAAAAATGTAATTCTATCTCATCAATTTGTCAGATCAGGCAATGTGTTTTTTTCAATCTTAAGTGTCAGCTTCGGTCATCATGTGCTCCCGGTAACCTCATTTTCTTCAGATGACAATAGACGAACCTGGTTTGGTTTTGTCCTACAAAAGCCTGTCTTCTCCAAGGTCCAATAGGCTCAATTTACCCAAGCATTAACACAGGGATAAGTATATTTATTTTCACCACATGACTTACATTTTGTATTTCATTTCTCAAATATCAGCAGAAATTGTAACATAAAAAAAAAAGAAAAAGAACCTTATGCTAGTATTAGCATTATGACCTGGGTCTAATTTGTTGTTCATTCGGAGATGTCCTACTCATAGCCAAAAGCAATCATTTAAGCAGTTTTTTTACTTATTTTTAGATTCAACAAGCCAATTTACTTTAATATCACATTTAAACAAAATGATTTTATCCAAATAATTTTTTTTACACTATTCATTGTAAATTGTAGAAATTCTAATGTTGGTTTTAATGTTGTTAAACATTTTTATAATTCTTTCTATTGGCTAGTTTTGAAAATGTTAACTTCGGTGTAATGTAATACTCCCGGTAAGGACATGTGCTGCGTGTGATTATCCACAGCAGTCTGTCCTTCTCTATGGGAGTATGTGGCCGTTCGGCGCCCTGCGCTCACCCGACCTGCACGTTTGTTACAGGTGCGGGTGTCCCTGCTCGGACGCAGACATGATCCATCCTGTCAGCATACGAATACGGCCACCCGCACCTGCACAGACGCGCAGGTTGGGTGAGCGTAGGACGGCGTACGGCCACGTAGACCCATGGAGAAGGACAGGCTGCTGCATATAATAACATGCAGCACCTGTCCTTCCCGGGAGCTGCCCGATATGGTTGCGCACACAGCACGGATCTGTACGGGCCAGCCGTTACCCGCTTGAATGAGGGCATAACCTTAACCTGACCGCTATAATGTAGCCTGAGACTGACTCCTATAGGTTTCAGAATATCATGCAAAAAACTGCAACAAAATCCATTACACTCCCAAATCCTCACATAAAACTAAAAGTCAATTAATTTCGGCATTCAGATAAGTCAGAATACAAATTTTTTGACAGCCCACAGAAGGTGTGGTTCTCCCATCCCAATTCATACCATACCTTTTAGGAAGAAAGAGTGGGGTCCCCCCTAAAATCTTTTACCAGTCCCTTGATGCAAGCAGCAGCCTGGAAGAGCAGGTGATTGTGTACTCCCCCTCCTTTACTATACCAGGCCACACGCCCTCAAAATGGAAAGGGTGCTTTTGCGAGGATGCACCCTTGTACCATGTACCTTCTGCCAACCACAAATAAATAATCCACTATTGGTAAAGCTTTTTCTGTCCTATACATGGTAATCACTCCATTTTTCAATGCTTTAATATACAGCATGATGAACAAGGCCTACATCAAAAGTACTGCACAAATAAACAGGCGATTTAAAAAAACTCAGTGAAAAAATGAACACGGTTCTAATTATTAGTGTTATTATTTTATACAAAAAGTGGTACTTACAAGAAAAACACAACTACACTACTATTTTAAAGTTGAACTCCAGTCAGCCCAAAAAACAAGGAGAACTTTGCCCCCCCCCACACACACACACACATACAGTGGAAATCGCGCAAAAAAATGCTCAGTGTGAATGGGGTCTAAGGGCCGGTGCACACCTAGGTGACACCCCACCATGCGGAAATCATGCACGGTCAGGAGTCGCCCTGGTGTGCACCAATCGCGCTGTGGGTGCCATTATTTTCCAATGGCACCCCAGTCGTGACGGGCGGATCAGGCGCTTTGCCACCGCTATTCTGCTCGTGCTTCTGAACACAATCACGGCTAAAAGAGCCGTGTCGTGTATCGCAGAAAAAAAGTACATGTACCTTTTTTCTGCGATACATGACACGCGGCTGTTTTAACCGTGATCGTATTCAGAAGAATGGGCGGAATCGCGGCAGGAAACTGTGTGTTCTTCCCGGCGTGACTGGGGTGCCATTGGAAAAAAATGGCACCCACAGCGCGATCGGTGCACACCAGGGCACTCCTGACCTTGCAGCAATCCGCAAGGAATTGTGCATGATTGCTGTGTGGTGGGGTGTCGCCTAGGGGTGCACCGGCCCTAATAGATGGATGAATATACATGGGGTATATAATTGGAAGGAACTACAGTACTACAATATATTTCTGAATCATCACTTTTAATTCACAAACCTTGGGCAAATACAAAAGTTGACAATTATCCATGTTTATTTTCTTTATTAGAGATGGGGAAGCCTAGAGCCCATATTAGATTTTTAGTTTTATTTCTGAGTATACAGAACAAACTATTTTAATAGTACTAATTCAAGAAAAACTGCTTATGATACCACAATTTGGTAATAACGTGAGCCACAGCCTCCCAAATGTCTTTGTTTCTCAAGCTGTAGACTATGGGGTTAAGAGATGGCGTCACAACCGCGTAAACCATAGTAAAAATCTTGTTCATAGTCCGTGATTGCATAGAAGATGGAAATATATATGCAGCCAGCACTGTCCCATAATATATGAAGACAACAGTCAGGTGAGAGCTGCAGGTGAAGAAGGCTTTCTGTCTACCAGAGACTGAGGAAATCTTTAAAATTGACATGACAATATAGATGTATGACACCATGATGATCAAATACGGACAAATCGCTGCTGGGATAGTGATCACCTTAGCTTCCATTTGAATAAAAGTGATATCTGAGCAAGAAAGTTCTAATATAGAAGCAAAGGTCACAAAAGGAATGGTCAATGGTATTTAGTCCACAAAAATATAAACTGCTTATGCGCACTGATAAAATAAAAGAGTAGACCACACTTGGTACCCAAGACATTATGACTAGTTTCCAGAAAAGTCCATCTCCCATAATTGAAGTGTATTGCAGGGGATGACAAATGGCCAGGTATCGGTTATAGGACATCACTGTAAGAAGGAGACACTCTGTACATTCTGAGATAACAAAGAACATGTACTGAACGATACATCCCTCAAAAGAAATAGTTCCCCCTTCATTGAGGACAACGTAAAGTGTGTTTGGAACACTATCAACACTTAGAAGGATGTCACACATGGAGAGTTGCATAAGGAAGAAGTACATAGGGGATTGGAGGTTCTTACAGTAGGACACCAAAGAGATGATGAGGGTGTTCCCAAATATTGTCACACAAAATGTCAAGAGCGGCAGACAGAAGAGTACAAATTTGTAGTGGTGGAGGTTTTGAAATCCAAGAATGAAGATTGTGGTGAGGTTATTCTTACTCCAAACTGACTAGAAGGAAGAAGCACAAAATAACAGACTTATTAGCTCCTAATCCTACACATCTTAGCCAGCAAATCTTTATTTTCTGCTTTGGTTTTATTTATTTTACAAGTTGCATTCCATTCTACCTCTCAGTGTTTGCATCTTCACTTGCCCTCTTCATATTCATAATAAATACATCAGAAAATAATTTCTAAAGCCTATTCTAGCTGTTGGTGTAGAGTTACGTGGATAAAGGTCTTTAATGTATTTTCTTTGGTAAAACTCCATGGACACGTGTCTTCTTTCTCAACTGACAAACTATGTAAATATGTTTTAGCAAGTATACAGAATCCTTGCACAATGTATGCAAATGAGCAAGGAAAAAAGTATTGGTAGGCTCATTCAATGTTAAAACATAGACTTCAGATTCTAACCTGATCAGAACATTTGTTGTATGCTGACCAAAGGGGACAGCTTTAAAGGTGAACCCAAGCCTGGAAAAATGTAATATTTTGTTTACTAGACATGTAAATTTAGTTTAGTTCCAAAAGGATATTCATACAAATTTAATTAAATTCAGACATTTGGATGCAACCGAATTTCCGAATTCTAATGCATCCGAATGCAAACAAATCTGAATGCTCGTTTAACAAAAGTTCGAATCTGCCTGAATTTAATTCAAAATGAAACTGATTTGGACATTTTACTGTTCTCTGGCCAATCTGATTGTTTTGGGCTGTTGGGGGTTGCATTACAGGTCATACGACTTAGGGGGATATTCACAATGCTAGCCAAAGGATCAGCCATAGCTTCGGCTGATCCTTTGGCTAGCTTTGGTTGCCGGAGCCCTTCGGTTCAGTCAAACTATAGCCCGTACAGCTCCAGAAGGTGGCCGAGTGGCCACAAAAGCAAGACATTAACTGTATACATTGTACAGCAGTTTTAGTGTGCATGAGCAAAGGGATCCAGGACTCCAGAGTGGTGGTCAGGATCCTGGATTTAAGGCTATAGAACACCAGGTCTGTGGCACCAAAGTCCATATTTTTCTTCAGCTAGCCGTTAGTAGTTGAAAAGATGACTGAACTCTGTTTTCTAGAAGTGAAGGATCAACTCAGTGGGGGTGATTTACTAACCTAAACACACGCACGCACCAGGTGCGTGTGATTTTCACACAGCTAAACGTATTTATCAACCAGAAAGTCTCTAAAAGCATATTTCCACTAATGCCATATATGGAAAAATCATGCACATGATGCATATATAATGCTGCTTCACAGTTTAGACAAAAATGGTTAGCTCATGCATTTACATTCCTGCATTCATCAACGCAAGCAACACAACATAGAGCTAATTTACACAACATCACCTTGCAATTCATGCAGGGCTTTGCACAACACAC